GGGCTTACGTTAGGAGTAGTGGTCGCCATAGTACAGCGCCCAGGAACCCATCAGCAGATGTTGATGCTCGGCTTGGTCAGGACTACCGGAGCTGGAGGATTTAGCCTATTGTGCATGTTTTTAGTGGTAGGGGAAACTAGAGTACCCGGAGGAAACCTATGCAGGCACGGGGAGAATGTGCAAACTCCACTCAGAAAGACCCTGTTCCGACCGGGATTCGAACCCAGGACCTTCTTGCTCAGAGGCGAGAGTGCTATCCACTCAGCCATGCAATGTCCTGCCCTCCACTGTGCTCACTGGTTAAGTAACTTGTCAGGCTGCAGGTATTATTCTTAAATCATTAATGACAAAACAAGAAATAAAACAAGGACTTTTATCTTTGTGAAAAAGGTGTTGGTTATAGATTTGTTGTTGACAAAGCTCTTGTATAAACAGCTATCATGGTCCCAGCTGAATACGTCCGCATATCTGGCAACCTAAGTCAGGGAGAGTGGGAGTTGTTGCAGTACCCCTTTTGGCCAGATTTTTTACATACTGCTCCTTTAAGATTGAGGAGCTGTGTGAATGCAAGTAAGTAAGTAAGGTTTATTTATACAGTATATCGCAATTTACAGACCAAGGTCACCCAAAGCGCTTTACAATTGTTCAGAGTTCAGATAGTTATTCCATTCTCTCCACACACGCTGATGACGGAAGCGAGTCGCCGAACACACTGGCATATCAAAGCCCCAACCAAACACCATCCATTACATCTCACTCACTCATTACAATCATACCTATTATACATGTTTTTAGTGGTAAGTGAGGAAACCTACGCAGACACGGGGAGAACATGCAAACTCCACTCAGAAAGGCCCTGTTCCGACCGGGATTCGAACCCAGGACCTTCTATACCAGGATGTATATGCAAAATCAGGCGCATTGAGATCATTGTCGGACTCTCTTGAATAATTTTCTCGAGTTGGCGTGTCTAGAACCACTCAAATACTCCACATAGCACTCCATGTTACCATTCCACCCTGTGTCTCGCATGTATCTTCTGCCTGCTCCCTACATCCACGCCATATTAGCTCCTTGTTTGCCTAGGTATTGCAGCTGGCAGATTGCTTGGGTTATTTGCTCTGCTGTGCATCGGTGGGGGGGCTGCGTGCTTTTCATAGAGCAGCTCGTTAACCTACAACCAACCAGAACCACATCTTGTTTTGCCGGGTTTTGCCCTTTTGTCTGCTGTCTCTCCACGGTGTAAGGGCCGTATATAGCGCTGAAGGCACACAGCTGTTTGTCAAAAGCTTCCACGGACGCGGAAATTGGAATATGAATTCAGTTTCTTTCATATAGCAGTGGTCTTGAGGGAAATTTGCACAGGAATAATTGACCTACAGGGTTTATAGGTTTCTGAGCAAAGATGGAGAATGAAGCAGAGGGGTCATTGGATGGAAAAAAGTCAATAGAATGAAGAAAACGTTTTTTTTTTTTTTTTTTTTGAAAAGGAGGGACAATACATATTAATGAACATTTTCACAAATGTAAATATGCCAGATTATAGCCTTAGGCTAATTTCCATCTGCAGACCCCAGATTGTTGACAGTTCTTGCGTGGCCAGCCATCTCTCTGGTCATGTCCTCGAGTGGTATGTATTTAAAACAGACTTTTCCACCTACCAAATCAGTTCCCACAGCCTCAGTCCTCGTTCTACAGCCTGAGTCCTCGATAGATCTACAGCTTCTGAGCTAATGCTTTTCTCAATATGGGGACTGATTGAATTTAAGGGGTTTTTTTGCCTAAGGAACAGATGTTGTACCTTAGTGGGTACAAAATGTATCCTTTTATATGGGTACAGTGTTGTACCTGTACATAAAGGTACATATTTGGCGCTTGAGGTCCAGTGAAGTACTTTTAGAGGTACAAACAATAAGGTACATAAAAGATCCTATGTTGAGAGGTGAAATGTTGTTCTGTAGGGTACTGTGGGGGCAACAAACCCATTGTACCCTTTTGGGTCCACTCCTGTCCCTCCATTTCTTAGTGTGTGGGGTACCTCTCTTTTTTCCCCACTGGGTTTTTTGAGTTGATCTTTGCTAATGCAGGAGGACCTAAGGACAGTGAATGCATTTCCTGTGTTTGCATTGTTTGATTCTTTGATCTGTTGTTGGTAAATGGAAAACTTGTACTACCCTCTGAGACAACTGCTGTTGGCATTTGGGGCTGTACAAAATGTATTGAATTGAATTAAGCTAAAATTTAATCTGTTTGATTGAGACCAAAGCCAGTTGTGTTGTGAAAAGGCCATTCAGAGGTGAGCCGAGTCTAAGGCGGTTGAGCTGCATGAAAACACATCCATCGTATTGAAATGATGCATTTGAGCACATTGGGAAAAACAATTTTATATAAATGTATTGAATTTATATAGGCGACTCACTCATGTTGTTCGGGATTAATACACAATCCATCATTGAAAGTGTTTTGTTGTTTTGTTTTTCTTTGTTTTGTTAGGCGACGCAAAAACTAAACAGAACAAACAGAAATTTCCACGGTGCTTTTAAGAGCAAGAGTGGAAATTCAAGGATTTCTGCTGCAGCCGCTGAGAAAAACAAATCAAACCCAAATAAAGTATAATGTTGTGTGATTACATTTGCAGAGCGTTTGCTTAAAATATATGTATAAAATTTGTATTGACATCATTCTGAAATGGAAAGAGTATGAGTACCACTGTGTGAACTTACCAAGACACAGCCGTCCACCTAAACTGACCGATCAAAGAGAAAGAATTTCTGCAGAGAATAAGAGATTCAGATACATTTAGGATCCCCAACTGATGGGTGTATGTGTTTGTAAGAAGTAGTTAATTTGTAATACACAAACAAGCATAATTTTCAACTCCAAATGTACAAAAAAAATATTGCAAATGCGTTATTTACTATTTATGAAGTCTCCTGGAAAATGCAAATATCTGGTCAGTACAATTGTTTCATACTTTTAGAGACTGCAGTTATGAATATATAATCATTTATCACATTCAAAAGAAGTTAACAAAGTTTTAGAATTTAAATTGCTGCTCTTAAATCTTCTCTAACTTTGTCTTTCTGACCCGGCAAGAAGTTGAAGTTCAATACGCTTGAATAAAACCCAGAGATGAAATTCCTCACTTGCTCACTGCACTCTCACAGGAAGTCATTAAAGTTTGGACAATTTCACACGCTTTACTCTGTATTCTTCTTTCTTACTTTTGGACTTCTCTGTTGTCTTCATAATGACTCTGGTGGGGTTATTATGTCAGCACTGACTTCACAATTTGCAGCTTTTACTCTAAAACCTGCCTTGGGAAGGGCAGAAGTAAGTTTAAAGACAAAAAAGACTGGTTATGATGGAGTCGTGTAGAACTTCAAAATGACACTGAAATGGCCCGTGGATGTTTTCAGTACATAAATGAAGACATTATAGCATGACTGGTGCTCTTGAAGTCCAACTGTCTCTCACATGATCAATAGAAAGCACACACACGACACCATTTAGACAGGAGCTTTGAAACAGACATGAATGTGCCAGAAAGTCATTTCAAAAACAATATACATTCTAATACATACTGTATAGTGCTTTTCTGGACACTCAAAGATGCTTCACATGGCATTATTCATTCACCCCATACAATGTGGTGATAAACTGCTGGTCAGATGTGCTTTACAGCTATCACAATTGTAGTGACCAGGCCTTGTCTTGCTTATCTCTTGAGCTCTGACTGGATCAGGTTTTCATATTTGGCTTCGCTACATGTGTCTTTACAGAAGGAACCATACATTTGC